TTACAAAGTCTGACATGCAGCAAAACATCAGAAGTGAGGCTTTTCCCAGCCCTTCAAAGCTCATGTCATACACAATAGGCCTGTGGCTGTGGAAGAAGAGTTATAGCACATCAGGCTCAGGGTAGGAGTCTGAACAGCTAGGATCATTGTGAGGGTCAGTTCAGGATTCTTAAAGGTTGAAAAAAGACTCGAGGTGAAGAGAATGGTAATTGGCCCTGTGTCCCACACAAAATACTACACAGTCTAAAGAAAGGAACCTAGAAAAAAATATAGAGAAAAACTAACTAAATGAAAAAATTCAAGGTGCAGCATTCTCCCTTAGAATTTATAAGGGGTGGGTAGCATAAGCTGAAAATTTCAAACTAATATGCTGTGAAACAGGTATCTTTTTCCCCTCTGTTCTTTGAAAATATTAACTTGTGAAGCAGAGATATAGATTGAATTTATGCTTAGTTCTCCTTTACTTATTTTACATGTATATATTGACATATAAATATACTTGGAAAATACATATTTTCAGAATAAAAAGGAGTGAGATACTGAGCTTGTTTGGTGACTCAATGATTTTTGTTCCCTTTAAGTGATAAGAAAGTTTTCCTAGCTCAAGGCTTCCTAATAAATGTTAAATACTTCATTTATGCTTCAAGAGAAAGAAATGTAAAATTAATATGTGTACTATATAAAGGGGTCATTAGTGTGGAACAATGACAATCTGGCCTTGTAAGTAAGGAATTGTGTGATTCTGACACATTTCTAGGGAGGGTACTATGTTTATTACCCAGTGTGGAGGGTAGGGTGCTCCACACTCTAACCCCGGGGTACCTGTCTGGGAGATGTTCAAGGTCCCTGGTATTGTCAAGGGAAGTATTTGTGTATGCTGCTCTAATAATAAAGTTTAGTATTTACAACAGAGACCATAAGTCCACAATGCCTAAAATATTTACTATCTGGCCCTTTGAGGAAAAGTTTGACCCTTAACATTCAGAATTCAGTGGAAAGTCTCTGAGTGCATTGCTGGTAAGGAGGAAAGGACTGTTTGTAAAAAGTTTGTTTCAGTTACCAATGTATGATACTGAGTTGTGATGCAAAATGCATTTAGTACTACAGAGAGCAGGCAAAAAAACTGAAAATCACTTTTTAGTCCATGTTAAAGAAAGTAAATTTCATCTTAAGGGAAACAAGTGATGGGTTTTAAGCAAAGGTAATTTAACAAGTGTTGCATTTTAGCAAGATCCTTTTGGCTACAGTGTAAAGAGTGTGATTTTTAAAAAAGCAAGGAGAACTAGCGGAGATAAGTTAGAAAAATATTTCATGGCATCTAGACAAGGGGTGCTGAGATATGGGCCCTGTGGTGCCATTGGGAATGAAGAAAGTTTATCAGATGTTTTTGTAAAAGTTTGTAAGGCATAAATTACCTTTAAGATCATCTCTGACACTATCCATATTTTTCTGCTAAAATTAAAAAAAAAATTGCAATAGTGTTGGCAAAGTATCTCAATGCTTAGCATTACATGTAACTCAGTTCTTACAATCAAAACCCTGAAAACTACATTCTAGACTGAGATGGTGCGGGGCCACCAATATATACTGGGTAAGAACACTTCAACAACATGAATTTTAAAATGAATTGACCTTTAATCTCTTTATGTGGAGGCCTCATTTGGAGAAGGTGTTCTATTCATTTCCAAAAACTTTATGCATGCAAGTGGAATCATTCGTCTCCCACCCCCATCCTATTTGTCTTTGTCTGAATGCCATTCCTAGTTTAGCTCCATGGCAGGGCGCTTGCTAACTTAAAAGAACACATAAAGGGCCTTTGCAGCCTATAAACACACCTTTTGAATGATACCAGAACTATGAGGCAGCTGTGGAAACAAATTCCTAAGCCTCTGATGACCCGGTGCTCATAACTAATTCACCACCTTTTCCCAGCTGATTTTTCCACTCCCTCATATCTTTCTTTGAAGTAATTTTAATTTATTTTTCAAAATGCTTCCCCTCCACACCACCACTGCCACTTAGCTTTACCCCTTAAACCTCCCTCACCCTTAACCAACTTTCTGCATCTGAAAAAGTAGCCCAGGCCCTTTGTGAATATATATTGGGACTGACACCAGATATGCTGCTCTGTAATACACCTGAATATAACCCTGACAGATTGCTTGAAACCCAGAGAGACAGATGAATATAGGGTTACCAGAACTTCATTTCAAGGGCTGTTGACTAGCTAGAGTGCACAGACACTAAAAGGCGCCATGGTCCTTCCATGTATGACTAATGCAACTTGAAAGGCCGGCACTGAGTAGACAAAGAGCAGGGAGATGTGTGTGAGAGACTGATCAAAAGCATCCTGGCCTGAAAATTCTATGCAACAATCATTTTTGGGGCCATGAGATAGGGTTCCCAAAGATTTCAGTTAAAATATCAGTATGTTCTCCAAGATGAATAAATACCTTAAGAAATTATCCCCCAGAGATGGGGTACAGTTAAACCCTAGAGATATTTTAGAGTGAAAAGGGAAGTACGGTAAATATTTACAAGAAAGGGGAGAGTTCTGGATGGAGAGAAAGCACCATAGTAGGGAAGCTATACAACTAAAGGGGAAAAAAAAGGTTTAAACTCTCCAGGGGAAGTCAAGATGCTAAAACATAAGAAGGAAAGTAGGGAAGTACTGAGACCACTAGTGCAATTTTCCTTCTCCTCACATTTAGGCAGAAATACAGGAGCTGCCAACAAAGCTCTGTTGACCACCCCCCAACAGGGCAGTGATCACTGACATGGAAGGGTTACATTTATAGCTAGTGAGCTATGAATTGCAGGTTACTTGGAGAGCCTTGTCTCAGAATCTTCCATCCATCTTCTTTCTTCACACAAAAAAGTAATGCATGGAAATGTCAGATATTTGTCAATGTGCAGGATGGTTAAGACTTAAGACTCTAAGGAAAGACCTCTTTGTTCCCATTCTGGATAACTTCATTGTGAGGCCCTATCTTCTTACAAATGGTGGCATGGCATCCAAGTCATACCTCTCTAGATGGTGTCTATACCTATATTAGTCAGCTTTTCCTTGCTGAAACATAATACCCAGTATGTACAATTTAAAAGGGAAGTTGGTATTGTTCACAGTTTCAGGGGATTCAATTCATGTTCAGTGGGCTCCAAAGCAGAAACATCATGGTGGAAGGCCATGGAGGGTTGAAAATGCTATTTTCCTTGTGGCCAAGAAGCAGAGCAGGAGAACCATGATAAAGAGAAAGGGGTCAGGAACCATATATAGTACCCAAAATTGTGCCTCTCTGATCCACCCAGACACACTCTGGAGGGTGTTTTAGTAGTTCCCTGAGGTTAATCACAATGTGTTTCTCTCTGGAGCAGTTGCCATGTGCTATTAAAGAATATCCTCTTCGGCATAAATTCTCACCTGATTTCTTCTCTGCTCACTTGTGGTTTTTTTTTCTTTTTTGACAGGATCCCACCATGTAATTAAGCCTGGCCATGAGTACCATGTAGTCCCTGTTGACCTTAAATTCACCACTTCACAGCAATCTTCCTGCCTCAGGCTCTGGCTGTTAGGATTACATGCATTCACCAGCATGCTCTGCTTCCTCACATGGTCTCATGACCTCACACACAGCCAGTCGAAGACTGACATGTAGTGTATCACATGCTCTTTGTTACTAAAATGAGATGGATAATTTTAGTAACTTGCTTTGCTTTGTTTTATAAATGTGAATACATTTGAGTTCATGCCTATAATCTTGAGACTCTTCCACACTTACTCCAACTTACTGCTGATCTTGGATATGCCTGTGTTGCATATATGAATGCCCTTCACCCTATGGGAATTAATTTTCTTGTTTGTTCTTTGGAGGAAATTATTTTAAGGAGAAGATGCATTTTCCTTTCCCCCCCACAAATCTAGGGTAGGTAGAAGAGGGTCACAGGTTTATTTTCTTTGTGGTTTTGTTGTGGAATAACCCAGAAGCACTCACTTGATCTCTTGTCACTTACTGGCCTCCAAGCAAGTGACAGACCAGCCTTCTTCGAATAGGACTTGAATATCTGTGAGAGCCTGTGAACATCTGTACATACATTGGTGCATGTGATTCTGTGTGCCCCCGCATATGTGTTTCCATTCTGATGCAACATCTGTTGAACTGCAGTACCAAATCACTGGCTATTGCTAAAGTTCTAGGGTTAATTCTGGGGAAACAGATGTAATCTTGGTTTAATACGCCTGAGTAAAAATAACAGGAAGATGGAGCTCTAGGAAGACAGTGGATATCCTTGAGATCATTTTTAATTGTTTAGCAAGAATTGGTCATGCTAAAGAATTTAGTCTTTACCCACTAAAGGCATTACTTAGAATATTTCGTCATGCCTGCCTTTATCCTCTACTGTGATTTTTTTCATCTGCCAGTTCCAGCCAGAATGAGTACATACAGCCCAAGTGCTAAGTCTCAGAGAATAATGGTTTAGATACAGAAAGTTGTCAGGGCTTTCTCTACAGCTTTGTTATGCCCAAAGTGAGAGCCTCTCCTGTTGCTTTGCTTTCAGAGCTGAAGACATCAAAGGGGCAGGCAGGTCACCTTTGTTTTAAACTATCTTCCCCCTACTGTCAGACTCTACTATTTTTCACCTTTTTAAAGAAGTCCCATGTTGAAGTTGTCCCCAAAGGGATTTATTTTAGGGAATTATATTAATGCTCTTGTTCAAAATGTGACCCTGGAACGTCTTTGCCATTCTGAATGTGAGTGGGACCCCCTCCTCCTCAGGCAAAGGCAAAGACAGGAATGGTGAGGAGAGGAAGCACTCAGTAGTGACTGACTGGAGCCTGACTGGAGGAAGAGGTCTGTCTTAGTTGGAGAGTGGGAAGTTGTGTGAAATGGAAAAGACCTGAACATCAATGACCTCATCAAAGGTCCATACCTTCTAGGTCTAAGAATTGTCCTCCCCAAGCCAACAAATACGCTCTGAGACACACTTCACCAGAGACTTGATAATTTTTCCACAATAGCCTTTAATACTAAAATGCATTAAATTTTGAAGCAGAGAAAACACATTTAGGGGAGAAACAGAGAACCACCAGATAAAAAGTAACAATGTGGCAGATAACACCATTTAAAACATAACTGTAATAATTTAATAAAGCTGCTTTATCATCTTCATAAAATAGACAAAGTTGTGAATCTTTTTTAACTTTTTTCTTTTACAATGATTCAATCACTGTGAAAATGTACATAAAATACAGATCCGCATATACAACAATTTCATCTTCATCTAGTCAGCAACAGAAACTCCTTAATGAGATGTACTCTACTTGCATCCCTCTAAATTTCCACCCTGGTTTGACAGGTAAACAATAATAGTGTCATCAGGCTCATTCCCCTCACTAGAGGAGCGAAGGCATAACAAGCCTTTTGCAACTAATACCTTAGCATTCAAATAGCACAGGAGGTATTTGTTGCTGAATTTCTAGCTTAAGCTAGTCTGGCTCTTGGTCATTAAAGTCAGTATCCTAGCCTTCATCAGCTGAATGCCAGCCAGTGCCAGTGAAAGTCTACCTAACCAGTGCTGCAATGGTGTTGGCTGATTTGTTTACTAAAGTTTACAGCAACTTTTAGTTAGTAACAAGGTCATCTGTAATTGCCAACACAGCTGGAGCAACAGTCAGCATCATCTGTTTTCCTAATGACCTACAATGCTTTCCAATCAAGATCAGGTGTTTGTGGGTTGTTCTTCACCAAGAGCATCTTGCAATATTTATTTCAGACAAGGTGGTTGATTTTCTTTGTTTTACAAAAGCAACACGATTCCTAGTTGAAATTAATTCACTTTTGCACAACAAGTGACCCACAGGCCAATTCCAGCTTCACAAGAAAACAAAGAGAGCTGCAACAACTTCATTAGGACAATGTGTTTTGCTCTGGAATACTTCATTATCAATATAAAGCCACCCGGTCCCAGCCCCACCCCCACACATCCCCTTTGAATATTACTTTGTTACATACTTAAACTAAAGAACAATATCGCAATACACTTCAGTGTCAGCAGATACAAATTGACTCATGAAATGACATTCTTAAATGTAATTTTACCAAGAAGGCAAACACTAGGACTGTATACAATGGACTTAAGCTCATTTATGCCAGATTTTCGAAGTCCATGAGAGTCTTATTACCCTGGGTAAAGAGCCAAGTGGACCAGACTTGTCAGGATGCCGTGGGGAACATTCAACACCAAAATGATCCCCATGAAGTGGAATGTTAGCCAGAACTACTATGTACAATAATAATCTTTTTTTTTTTTTTTTTTTTTTAACCTTGGATTCCCAACTGAGCTATCACCTTTATCCCTGCCTCTCCTCAAACTGTCCTTTGTCTTTGCTGCTTCAAGTGGACAGCATTTTTGGTTTGCTTTTCAATACGATGAGGATATAGAAAAAAGTCAACCAAATTCCCCTCATACAGTCAATCATATACTGAAGTGACACTTATTGGGAAGATATCTTCTGGGTGGTTCCAGTTTTCAGAGTTCTGGGTTTTATTTTCTTTAACATTTTCATTAATGGTCAATGGGTCACCATGTCAAGGAATTTGTTTAAATGGACAACTTGGGTGCCGTAAATTCTATTAGGCAGGTTAACTCTGGAGAAGCGATACTCAAAGTGTGGTCCTATCAGCATCACCTGGGATATTTTAGATATGCACAGAAGCAGGCCAGACCAACTGAATCGGAAACTCTAAGGAAAAAGTCTATCAAACCGGGTTAAATGAGCCCCCAAACTTTTTCTGATACCTGATTCATATGGATTGTTGGGCTCCATTCCCAGGTTTCTGATGCAAAGAATTAGTATTTCTAAGAAGTTCCCAAGTGATTGTCTTGCTTATGCTCCAGGGACTGCATTTTTAGAACCACTGCTCTGCAGGATCTGCAGGATCCCTTAGCTCATTACCTATTTCAGTAATAAGATGGACCATAATTTAGTCTACCAGTTTTAAGAGGTCAAAGGATGCTAGGTTTCATTGCAAACAGGTTCATAAATTAGTTAGAATAGTCAAAAGGTAAAAGAGATTCTACAAAGCATCATGGCTCTTTTCACTCTTTCTTGTGATATTGTGTATTTCCATATGGGGGGAAGCAATCAGTCAATGCAAACTAAACTCCTAATGTTGCATGGAAAAGTTTATCTGCCCAGAGAATTGCTGAAAACAATTGATAGTAAAGTATGGCATACTTCAAAACTGTGAAGCACTGGAATAAATGGAGAGAACTCCCTAGGATTTAGAAACGAAATGTGTTCCCTGATGTTTAAGTGTGTAACATGTTAGGAGAAGGAAAATAAATAATGTTTGGCCCTTTGGCCCTTGTGGCTTTCCACTGGCTGTGTTTAAAAGAAAAGGAAAAACATGAGCCAAAGGGAGATCAAGGATCCTTGCACAAAGTTCTGATTTGCAGGCACTGCCTGTCTTTAAAAGCAACTTACAAAGCCCTTCTAGGATGCACTTGTGCTTCTGGAAGGACACAAACATAAGACAATTGGAGGGGGAAACAAGATTTTTTTAACGAAAGGAGTGCACTGAACATGTTCAGTCGAGTGTTTGGATGCAACAAACAAAAAACTTTGACTGCTCATTGAGAACAAAATATTTGGGTAGGGGCAAAAAAAGATGGGTCTACAACCTGAAACTGAATTTGGGAGAAAAAAACTGAAGAAAAACTCAGCCAAAAAACAAAATCAATGCCACTTCTACTGTATTTTAAACTTGATTAGTAAGAGGCATGGCAGCCAGTGGCCTCCCTGGCTCAACAGCTACATAACATTTAATGTATCTACTTGCCACAATCTTTCTGGCTCCCTCATTCCCACTGATCATAGCGTGAAATACGCCTGTTGGAAACTGTCAAGTCTAACTTCAAAGTGACCTTGAGATGGTAACTAATGATATAATGTCAAGATGGATCATGGTAAAACAGTCTGAATTCTATCGGCAGCTGTCATAACTTAAAGGGTTTTTTTTGTTGTTTTTAATCTGTTAATCAAATAGTCACTTGCAAAGAGAAATAAATACCTACCTCAGAATCTACTACCAGAATGAAATAAATTAGAAGAGGAGAAAGTTTATGAGAATAAAATGAAGCAAAATGAAGATAGTATGCTAATTCATCTCTAATTGTTAGTTTTAGAAGAAAATTTGCAGCCACACCAATATTTTGCATGAGGTAGTATTCAGCACTGAATAAGAAGTAATGATGGATTTGTAACTTCATTATAGTTCTTTTTTTCAGAAATATTCTCTCCTATCTAACCCCATCCCACTGTCATACCACCCCCCTCCCTCAATGCCCTTTCCCCTTCCATAAAAGAAAGTATTCCCAGTACTAGGAACTCAAGTCAAAATAACTAAAACATTGAAAAGAGCTGACCTTCTCCAGCTAAACTTAAGAAAATAAATTCTCTTTTTCATTTGAGTGCTCTAACCTCTAGACCTTCTTTCTGGGTACCCTTGGACTTCAAAAAATGAAATAACTGTGAAGAAAAAGCACAAAACTTTTTCTCTAGAAACAACCCATTTAGGACCAAGATAGAGAAAATGTGACATATTTCTTTATCATTAAATAAATGAACTCTTAAGCTGCAAGAATACTAGGGCGGCCAGTGAATATTAATAGAAAAACAATAAACTGCGAGTTAGAAAAATGTTAAAACAACAACAAAAAGAATGTGCAATTTGTTAATTTTAAAAAGATGCATCCCTAGCCTACAGCAAAAAGAACTAGCTAAATCTAAAGGATTTTTGCTTTCATAGTTTCTTGTTCACATTTTTAATCAAAAATATTAGTCATAAAAAGACAAGTTCAAGTGTCTGAGTGTCTCCATTTAGAAGGCACAGGGATTGGATTAGTTGATGCTATTACCTCTTATCTGTCTTTTCTTAAACGTACACTTGGTACTACTTACTCTATCTTATTTATAAGCCTAGGATACAGAGCAACTTGGAGTTCTCAATTATAGTCCACGAAGTATTTTACAGTCTAATTCCAATCATGACTGAGAAACACTGAATCAGGAAGTATGTGACTAAAAAGATGCTAATTTAGAACTCAAAATAGATTCAGTCATTTTAGGTTTTAGATGACTGGAGACAGGGAATTTCTAAGCCTGAAATCTGATAACTTCAGGAACAACTTCCCTGTTCAGGGCCTGAAAAATAGAAAAATGGATCTCATAAAACTTTCAGCACAGTATTTCTGACAACTGCAAATTAGATAGCAGCATATCCAAAAATGACTTTCTGAAATGATCTATCACGGACCCAGGTAGATGACTGAAAGGCAGGAAAAATACTTTGCAAGGCGGTGAGCAATCACTACATGGGTTGATAAACCTGAATATCCTCCAAGTACTCAATCTTTATGTGTGGTGTTGCGTACTCATTTGCTGTCTCAGTTGTTTGAACTTTATGTTTGTCTGTACTTTTATTATTTTTACAGGAAAGAAAAACACCAATCCTTAAAGGCCTTTTGCCATCACCACACACGTAGCAATTTGCAATATCAAAAACAACAATAGCACAGCTAGCAAAAGGGTTCTTAAAACAGGGGTGTCCACAGCAAAACAGCAGCATTGGGAAGTACTCGAGCTTCAGAAACAACCTGTTGGGGGCTCAATTTCACATCACTGAATCAATGAATAGTACACAATAAATGACCATTAACTTGTCTACACTACAAAAAAACAGTAGCGAGCTTATTAAATGTGTCCAGAGCTCTTTTTTTTGTTTGCTTTTTGCTTTTTTTAAATGTAATCATCCACAAACAATGATAATTTATAAGTTTGACATAGAAAAATATATAAATTCAAACACTTAATACATAATACTTTTCACAACTGAATTTATCTCTGTTTCCCCAACATCAAGGCCCCATGAACAACTCAAAACAAAGCTAATTTGCTCCAATTGAACACCCCTGCTGCCTGCTGAAAAGAGAAGGACTGCTGCAGAATAATAGTCATTTATAAACAATACATTTAGGGAAAGCTCTGAAATATAGCCACTCAAGAACCAACCGTTAGTGAGCAATTAAAATGAGCAGCTTCTGCATCCTTGCTAGCCAGCGTGGTTTCTTTCTCTTCTTTCCCAATACTGGTTTAGAGAACAATATCCTTCAGACGCTTCACGCCGGGGGACTCTTTGTCACGACCCTCCTTCAGAATGCTGTCGACCTCATGCATGACTTTCTCCCTGTCAGCTCCACGGGGCTCAGCTTCAGAGGGACGAGAAGGGCCATTGTTGACACTGGTGATGTACTGCTCCAGATCACGGGTCGGAGGAGCTACGGCAACCATGTAAGACACAGAGGGCTTGGTGGGCAGAGGACTCTTGAGATGGAGAGGAGAGGTGACGGGGCTAATAGCCTCACAACCATTGCCCGCCTCCCGGATAGCACTGTTGATCTTGGGGCTGCAGATGGTCACATCAACAGTCCTCTTGCTTTTCAGGGTGGGCCTCTCCTCAGCTGGCTGATCACTGACATCTTTTCCAAAGGTTGCAAAAGTACGTTTGGTGGGGCCGCAGTCGTCGTAAGCCTCAACATCGGCAGCAGTAGCTTCAATGGACAGCGCAATGATGTTCCTCACATGCTCAGGGGACTTGGAACGGGTGGGCATGGGGTTCCGGGGCATCCAGCACCTGTCAGAGTGACCAAGAATCCGGCATTCTTCCCTGCAATGAAATCCTTCATTCTGATCTGTTTGGAAGAAAGAAAACGTAATTTCATCAGCTTTTCCTGAGAATCACCGTTACTCCCCAGTGTTCTGGTTGCTTAGGCATCCACGGGCCCTTCTGGGAAATGGTACTCTTAGATAGTCCTTTATTGTCTTTTGGGAGAAGTGTGAAAGAATTGGAGTTTTAAAGGCTATAGGTCTCCTGCTATATACTCTTTTTTAAACATTGTTTTTGCTGTTCCCACTGCTGACAAAACAAAAAACCTAAGGGAAAACACGTTCTGATGGAAAAATGTATTTTAAAAGTTTATCCTAAGTGTCAGTGTGCTGAGAGTCAGCATTTTTATCAACACTTCCTGATAAAAATCACTTGCATTTGAAACAGGATCTAGCAGAAAAGGGAGTGGAGGCAGGACAGGGAAATCAATAGCCGGTATATCTAAGAAGACCTGGACATATCTTTTGAGAAACAGCACTGCCAAGTAGCCTTCTAACCTACCCGTCACTGATACACAGTGTTTAAATTTAGACTGATATTGTACTGTCTTTGAAAACTCAATCACATCATTTCTTTTTGATGAACAGTCCCACAAGCCAATCAGCTCACTATACCATTTTTATGACTGGATTTCTCATCAGAAGGAATATACTGAAACCTCTTTCTTGTAGTTGACCCATAAGCTTCAGTTTGTCCCTATACACCCACACTCATATGCTGAGCATCATTTAATTAGATCCAACTAGCCATCACTCTTTATCTTTCTTATCTGCAGTTTTATTTGGAAATAATTTCTTAAAGAAATATGTGCTGTTGGTGAAAATGTACATTAGTACAGTCATATGGAGGACAGTATGGAAGCTCTTGAGAATATTAAAAAGATAAATCACCATATAATCCAGCTATGCCACTATTGGTTATATACCCAAAGGAAATGAAATTGGTACACCAAAGAGATAACCCATGTCCATGTTCATTTCAGTTCTATTCACAACAGACAAGATATAAAATCAGCCTAATTGCCTATTAAGAGATGAATGGGTAAAGGTAATATATATCTCCATAAAGAAAATTTGAAATCCCATCATTTGAAGTAAAATGGATGTAACTAGAGCACATTAGGCTAACTGAAATAAGCTAGACACATAAAGACAAGTACCACATGTTATCTTTTATATGTGAAGGATACAAAAGTTGATCTCAAAGTGTAACAGAGTGACACAATAGTCACTATGAGCTAGGAAGAGTGGAGTGCAGGGAAGGGTAATTAGACAACAGGTACCAAAGTACAGTTAGATAGACGGCATAACTTCTAATATTCTATAGCAAGTAAGGTGACTATAGATTACAATAATCCATTTTATACTTGAGAAGAACTAGAAGAGTGGAAACTAAAGGCCCTAAACACAAAGAAATAATGAGATAAAAAGGTTAGTTACCATAAATTGAACAGTACCTGTTGGATATATGTATTTTAATACAACAATGTACCCTACAAATATTTACAATCCATTACATGCTAATTATGAATAAAAATAGGAAAAAATGCTGCATGGACTACCTTAACTTTATCATGGAATATATCAATGGCTAGAATTCATAATTATTGGCATGATAAGCTTTTCTCTTTCCAGGTCAGGTTCATTAAAGATTAAGGTTTCCATCTGGCTGTCACAGTGGCTTTCTACATAGACTATTTCAAAGCGTGAATTTAGGATGAATTTCTCCTGTGCATTAGAAAACTTAATTCTAATGTGTAATTTATAGGCATAATTTTCCACACCCATTTATATTTATGTTACATTCTTGCAGGAGGATAACCTAATGAAAATTTTCATCACATTACACAATGTATCAAAATATCAGCAACTTAACATTTATAGAAATTCTTGGGGCAGTACAGGAGGAAGTGAGGAGAGTAGAAGAGGAAGCAATAATTAAAATATATGCATGTGAATATCTAAATACATAGAAAAAGATCCCCCAAAAACTTTGGAAATGTATGCCATGACTGCTTTTTGCAGGGAAAAGATGACTGCAATTCAAAGTCTTGCCTAAAATCAGTCTATATATAACACACCTGCCTGGTATACTTGACTTTCTATTTTTAGCATTTCCTATTTGCTTCTGAAATTGTTTTCACAAAGTAGAAAGCTAGGAGATCAAGCCGCTGCTCTTCTGCATTCACAAAAGGCTCTTTCGTGAAGGGGTACAGTGAAGGGGCTCTAAAAATAGTTGAGTTGCTTGTTTACCTCAAGATTCAGAGAAAAGCACTGGAAATAGTTAAATGTGAAGGAACTAACCTGAGCTGAGCCAGATTTGAACACAACTCTGGGCATGGTTCTTCTCCTTATTTAGGTTATTTTAAATGCCAACTAACGATAAGACCCCTTCTGTGTACATGGACACAATTTACCTTTAAGATGAATATTTTATACTCCTTTTCAATGCTAGGGAATGAAGCACTTAGAATTTGCAGAGTTGGAACCCAATAACCGATTACCTTTGTTATCAAAGTGCCTTCTAGATAAATACGACAAAAATTCTGCAAAGACTGGTACAGTTTCACAAGAAGGCTGCATGGCCACCTCTGCAAAATGAAAGATTTGTGAAAGCCATTGCTCTGCCCCTTCCCTGCAAACTCTCAGCACCACCGTATGTTGTCACATCATTTCAATGTACATGCATATGTTCCTGAAAGGCAGAAAATATGAAAGTGTTGGATATATGTTGGGATATACATAAGAACTTACTTTGTGCAGACCAAATACTTTGACAGAGAGAGGTGATCCACCCTCAATAAGTTTCATCTAAATCTAGATTCTTGGTGGCCCTAAATCTAGATCATTTTAGAACATAATAAACATTTTCAAGGATCTCAAAAGTATTTATCTTCCTCTCCATCTCTTCTGAAGCTCATCTCAAGACTTTATACCTAATAGCTATGAACAACAAGTGTGTTTGTTTAGAGGTAGAGAGAGTAAGGAGGTGAAGGTCAGGGAATGGTTCAACAATTGACTTCCCTTTCTACACATTGGACCAAGAATCCCTAGAAGCCAGTAAAAATGTCCAGAAGGCAATGAGAACTCTCTCATTTTTGTACCTACTTTAGGGCATGTAGGTATAAACATCTTTGGGTACTGGATCCAGCCACACATGACCATTGATGTCTTAAGAGGAAATCCTACCCTATCTTTAGACTGACTATTACATGCCGCTTGCTCACACTTCACAGCAAAAGTGGTGAACTATAATCAGATGAAATCTTCCTAACATGCCTAACATAAAGCTCTCATTTCTTTTAGTTTTTAGTAGGAAGAGACTATCTTCAAATATTAAAATGCAGTTATTTTCAACACCATTCGATACAATAATCCCAATCAAGTGCATCCTTCAATCTGAATAGAGTGCTCCTACCCTAAACTAGGTTGCCTTGAAAGAACAGTATGAGGAAGCCTGAAGTCCCAGCACACAAATTCAAAGAACAAAGATAATAGGGATGGACACTTCCAAGATCTTCTAAATCTACAAAAACCAGAGTAGGGAACAGTCTTCTCAGGAGCTTCTCGACAAAAATAGTGTTTGCCTTTAGCTTACCCATTGCCTAAATGAAAGAAAGAAATCACTGTCTCATAAAAGAAAAAGGTAAACTAACTTAGCACTAAGAATACAATCAGTCTAGCTTATACACCAAGCTTACTAAGCCTACTTCAGCCCTATATGAATTAACTTAATATACAATTGTCTGAGATTGATTATGTGAATTTACTATATGCACTGTTCTTACCCCCATGCAAGTGAAGATTTCTTTTAATCTAAGATATTCATTTACTCACAGTCTTAGCTTTGGTTTAAATCTAGTAATAATACCTATTATTTCCTTTAGTCCTTACCAAGGACAGTGAGGTATTTTTCATTTATGTTTCAAACAATAACTTCATGGCATTTATACCAGTATCATTAAATGAAAATCCAACCTAACTTGAAAGTATTTATACTCATTTCACATATGAAAGAAAACGTGGTTAATATAAACAGGCAAGAAAAGTATCTCTGCCCACCACAAGGTAAACTACATACATAAATGTGTTATAGATGAATTACCTTTTGAAACTGAAAATTCAGTTTGGTAAAGAAATTAAGTATGATATCAAAAGTGAGAAATTCACAATAAAAAGCCCCTTAAAATAGCAACAAAGACAGACCAGATGTAAAAATTTTAAGGAGAAAAGACACTACTTCTGAAATTGTATAGTACTAGTAAACAGTAGGGATCTGCTATGAGGTAGTATAGCAACTGGGGACAATATCATAAAATGAAGGAGAAACCATTTTGTATCATGACAACTAAACTTTCAAGATGCTGGTCCAACTTAAACAGAAAGCAGCTAATAATTCACTAATTCCCTGCTAAGACCCTTCTTATGAAAGTATTTATCATTTGATATTTTGCTACATGTTAAAATAAAACTATTGACCTAAATTTAGGTAAAGCAAAATGTGAGATTCTAAAATTTACACATAGTTATGGAAATCCAAACATATCATTATATATAGATGAATGAATACAGGTGTTTTTAATTCATACATACACATAAATAGAGCTGACTGATGAATTTAAAACCTTGTCTTTCCTGCTTCTAAAATTGTACCTAGGATTTGCAAAACATAAAAATATATATATGAAGATGGTGCATAAATCTGGAAGAGGGGCACAAATTTTGAGGCCAGAGAACTCTTTAATTCAAAACAGATCCATTTACTTTAGGCCATAGATAAAATAGAGAGAAAGGATAAAGCTTCTTCAATCTAGAAAACAATAATAAATACTTAGCAGGAAGGGGACTGGAATTTGTCATTAGGGATCTTGGTGAGAAAATTCCAAAACCTTTGGCAATAAAGAAATAAATAAATGCCCCTTGTATAAGATCTTAAAAACATCAGTCTTGTAAAGGCGTGGAGGCATAAGAGGCAATAACCATTAAGTCATGATGGGTAAGGAAGTAATATAAGAGCTTGAGGAAA